TCCACATCTGCTTTACAGGGTGTCACAAATTTCAGATTTGGAAAAGGGGCAGGGATTTTGCTTCTTTTTTCTTCTTCTTCAGCTGGATGTTATCTAACAGACTCAGTTGGATGCAACTCTGTGCATATAATTTAAGGAAAAGTACGGTATTTGTTCTATTCATAGAAGCAGTTTTAGTTAAAATATGTCCACTTTATTAATATGTTGGTCTTTTACAAATCTCTTGAATATTCTAATGTTTTTCCAGAAGAAAAGTTTACATAAACATTTGTAACTATGTGATTTTACAGATCCTTCTTTAAAATTCAAAGCTCTACTTATCAAAACAAATTTGTAAATTGATTAAGTATACTTTAATGAGCTATTTTCAGCATTTGTATCATCTGTTTTTCTAATAATTTTTTTTCATTTGACATTATTTAAAAGAGAAAATCTTTATTTTGAGTAAATGATATAATACAAGTCTTGGCACGAATGTGTGTCATCTTCACACAAATAGTCATAATTGTATGGTTAAGTACAATTTGTATTTTTGATGAACACGTTTTTATGCATGTTCTTGGTCATAACTTTATATTGATATTGACTGCTTGGATGCCTAATTTTACAAATGGTGATCTCTTATTTAAAGCTTTAGTGTTTGACATCCTAAAATCTAGCAGTAAGCATTCCAATAATTTATACCTTTGTACTGATCTCTGAAGATTTAGAGAAATTGCAAAGCTTTGTATTTCTATTTAGGAAGGTAATATTTACATGCAGTGCAGAAAAATTAAGTTTATATTCCTAAGTTTTTTTCTCTTGTAATTCATTTATCTAAGCTTAGTTTACCAGTGCTATTCTTGGAGGACAAAGCAGTCTGTGTTTCTGATCATTATGATAATTCTACATTATCAGTATTGGAGGTAGTTTGCCTCTGAATATCAGTGGCTAGGGAACATGCTCAGGAAAATGGTACTGTACTGATGTCCTGCTTGTGGACTTTCCAGGGTTGTCTAGCTGGTCAGGGTGCGAAGGAATGCTGAATTGGCTCCATACCATCAGGGCAGTTCTTCACTGAAAACAATTGATGTTAGTGATCCACTTTGGGAATGATTCTGGACAACTTTTCTAACATTTTCTACAGTATAAGAGCTCAATCATTATGCTTTTTGCTGCTTCCAGAGTGGCTTTTAAAAAGCTAAGAAATGCTATGATTTTTTTTAGGAAAGTTAAGATAGGAAAGGTAGTCATCTCTAGGAAAAGAAAACACACAAAGATTCTGTTGGCATGATTCTAGACTAGCACTGATCTATCAGAGTTTTCTCTCTAGGCAACTTTCCTGTTTCACATCCTTTAGTCAAAACCTCTTTCTGCTGTCTGTTTAAAAAACAAACAAACCTGGTACCAGGTAGTTTGCAAAGAAGCTTTTAATGACTACTGAAGTAATATGGAAATGAAGAAAATGGGGGCTAGAACTAGTCTGAGCTGTCCTGTCCTTTCCTTTCATAAATAGCAGTGCTCTGTTTCAAAACTGCAAGGCTCTGAAACTCTTAGAGTTTCTTCAAAGCATGTGCTACCAAGCATAACAAAGTACTTTTAGCAGCTAGAGTGACAGTATGCCTTGGACCCCTAGGTTACCTTGTGGGACTTTCAAATGAGTGGAAACCTTATCTGTCTCCAGCCATTGCTAAGCTACAGTTCTCATCAGTTCTGATCATTGGCAGTCTTGAGTCTGATGGGTGTTAGTCCAGCAGTATCTAGAAGACACTGGGTACCTCATCTCTCCTTTAAAACGTCAGTTATCAAAAAGCCTTAACATTCTCACAAAATTGACCTTATTCATGCAGTGAGTTTGGCTATTGACTTTGGTACCTGGAGGATGGAGGCCATTGGATACAAGATACATTGGATCCTAGTTGGTTTTCTATTTTCTTTCTCTCCATTGCCTTTTGGCATTTTTAAATAAATCATTAAGCACCATATTATCTTCTGCATTAGTATTATACTAATTGTAACTATGGTGGAGATAGAAAGTATTGTTCTGCCTTCCCCACAACCCCTGCCTTTAAAGTTTCAATTATGAGGTAGACATGTGGAGTCTTGGTTTGTTTTTTTAGGTAGACATGTGGAGTCTTGGTTTGTTTTTTTAGGTAGACATGTGGAGTCTTGGTTTGTTTTTTTAGGTAGACATGTGGAGTCTTGGTTTGTTTTTTTAGGTAGACATGTGGAGTCTTGGTTTGTTTTTTTCCCACCATTTTGTCATCTCTCTTCAGCTTTACTCCTTGACTGAGATAAAATTTTTAATCTTTCCACCTCATTAAGGAACTAAAAGAAGAGGGTTAGTTTGCACCTTAAGAATCCTTGAAATGATCTAACGTTTGCCTGATTGTCTGCTGGATGTTGTTGTTCAAGTGAGTGAATGTCCTATAACACCTGTCTTCTGAATGACTAGAACAACATGCAGTAAAATATAAAAGGTCATAGGAGTAGTCTTTTCTTTCTATGACAGCATAATCTT